CGTTACCCCCAACCCAGGGCCGTGCTCACCCCTGACATGTTAACCAAGGTCACGATACCCATGTAACAATCCCGGGTCGTGCTCATCCCTGATATAACACTGTGCCAAGGTCACGTTACCCCTAACCCGGGGCCGTGCTCACCCCCAACATGTTAACCAAGGTCACGATACCCATGTAACAATCTCGGGCCGTGCTCACCCCTGGTCATAGGTGTGAAGAACCACAATCACATCACAATCCACACAATTCTTACAATTAACATTATGTCAAGGCCACGCCACAACTGACATAAGTGATACTGTTAATTGTCTCACTCATCTCACATCATGTCAGGGTCACGCCCTCCCTATAGCATCACTTACCCAGGGGTCGTGCCATCCCTAGTCATTGATGTGAGAAACCACAATCACAATCATAATCACATCCATACAACATCTCATCTCATAGCTCAATTTCATATCACATACACAATTCCATATACACAATAGATAAGTCCAACAAAATAAGAGTTTACACACCCCTCAAGCAATTCACACCTAGATCATCAATTCTTATCAAGTAATATAACAATAACATTCATAAATTAATATAATAATCAATGAAATTACCAATTAATATAATCTTAACATAAATGGTAAAACCCCAAATTATTCAAAAACCCAACTCACATGCACTTTTTTACAATTTCGTTCTTTCTCCTAAATCATCATTCTTACAAACTAAATATATATTCATAATCCTAAATATATACAGAATCACATAAGACCAATAATTCCCCAAACAGAAGTAATTATAAAATTACTCATAATCTTACGGGCTTCCTCTTCTATCCAATTCCTTCATGTAACTTTGCATACAAATAATCCCCTTTTCCCTCGTACCTGGATAGACAGCAGTTGAACTAAAACAGGAATCTCTTGGTCTCCTCCTCTAAATGCCCCTTGATCTTCAGAGAGAAAAAGAGGGAAAGAAAAGAGAACAGAAGAGAATAGGAAGAGAGAATGAGAAATGTGAGAAAATGAGAGGTGAGGGGCGCTATTTATAGGATTTCAGGCTCACGTACTGGAACGACCTGTTCCAAAAGTGGAACGGCCGTTCTGGACCCTTCGAAACTACACAAAATTCTCAACTGGAACAGCCCGTTCCAAAACCAGAACGATTCGTTCTCAATCCCAGTAGAACGGCCCGTTCTCCCACCAGAACGGCCCGTTCTCCAAACCAGAACGGACCGTTCTACTTATCCAATTTTGGACATTTTTCTTATTCTGGAACGGCCCGTTTTACTTTTAAAACGGTCCGTTCTGGGCAATCAATTGGGCCTCTGGCCCAACAATTTTGGGCTGTTACACCTTTCTTGACCTTATTCTTAGAGGTAGCAAAAGCTTTTTCAAAGGAAGTGGTTGTTGTGCCACTAACAATTGACTTCTTGTGTGATGTAGTAACAAATAGGGTAGAATTTCAGTAATTTTGTTTTGCAATTTTCTCTTGAAAATATTTTAATCAGAAAAAAAAAACCATACATGTTTAATGTTATGATTCCAATTAAAGAGTACATGCTTCTAAAATTTTTTCAATGAATTATTTATCATGTGTCTATGTATGAAAACTTTAAATATACTATATTAAGTATTTTAAATTGATTTTTTAAAATCCACATGGAGTCATTTCAGTATTTTTAACACAATTATAGTTTTTATTTTCAATTTCTATTACATGAGTTTAATTTTAATATAATATTAACCTAATAAAATCATCTTATATATGATTTTTTAAGTAAATATTATGAAATTAAATAATTTTCAATTATATAACAATGTAAAACATTTATGAAAAGTAATAAGCTAAATTATAGTTTTGATTTTCTATTTTTTTCAATCCAAAATTTTGGCCCTCTTATTTTTAAATAAAAATATTTATTATTTTAATTTCAAAAATATATAATTATGATCTTATCATTTATTTGATATTCGTTGACCATTAAATTTATACGTTAATGATTAAGTTTAGATAATAACTGGTAACATGAAAAATAATAATTAATTTAAATTAGTTTTTTAATTGAATAAATTAATAGATAAAATTATTTTAATTAAATAAATTTATTTAATGAAATTATTAAATAAAATAATTTCAATAGCATTATTTATTTTTAAAACATTATAATATAAATTCATTTTTGTCACTAATAAATAAATTTTAATAATATTATTAAATGAGTCAATTTTTTTACCATGTTATTAATACATAGTGTCCATCAATTTTATCAATAACTAATTTTTGTCAAAAAATTTAATTGACCATTTTCAATGAAATCTCCCCTTCCAATCATATTTTTTTTTTATATATATAAAACTTGAATCTAATATCTTACTTAAAGAAATTGAGTTAGTACTACTTAAACTAATGACTTGTTAGGAAATAAATCCATTTCAATAATATTATTAAATAATAATATTTATTTTATCTTATTTAAATAGCATTATTCTACAAAATAACTATTGTAATTCTCATGTATTGGGTTGTTGGTCTAGTCAAATTGGGTTCCCATTCCTTAACCAAGTATTCAAATTCGAGTCTTTATCAATTAGATTTTCAATAAAAGTTATTTATTGATAAAACTAGCGGCTATTAAAAAAATTAAATTCATCGTATATTTGATAAAATAGTTGGACTTGGGCCTCAGAAACTGTTTTTTAGTGGATAACTTTCAGTTTCAGTTGGGCTCAAAAATAAAAATTGAAAGCTGTTGCTGTTTACGGTTCTGTTTCTTGTTCATAATATACCTCCTTTATTTTCTTTTATTAATACTAGAGCAATTTTTTTTTCTTCCAAAATGCAATTTATGAAAAAGATTGAGAGTGTGTTTGAAAATCAGCTGAGTTTAACTCAACTAAGATTGAAAAGAAGTTACATTCGTAGACTTTTATTTATTTATTTATTTATTTATTAAACGTGATTTTAAACTAATATCCAATAGTTAACTTTCATATTCAATTTGTTCTTTTTTATTTAGATTGATTCAAATCTTAAAATTAAATCTCTAAATTATTTTAAGGACAATTTCAAATTTGAATTATACTCTAGATTAGGGATGATAAGGAGATACGAATAAATGTTATTATATTTTTAACTATAATTCAGCTATTTTGGAGTATATATAAAATTCACACGTGACCCACCTTAGTTATAAGAGTTAATCACTATTTAAAAATGTGAACATGACTGGTCATAAACTCTAGTTATAAATGTGTTGATGCATCTTACCTTGCTAGTTTCATTCGTAGAGTTTGAGCTTTATTACATGTTGAAAAGGTTTATAAATATGGTAAAGAAAAGAAGTGTGCATGGTCACTGATCATACCCCTTCGTTGTTTGGAGATGAGTTTATATAAAAAGTGAAACCTTAAAATTCACCCCAAATGTTAATACAGTATCAATTGGCTTTAGCAGCAGGAGCACAATCACCATATATAATTTCTAAAGCGTAAAATGTGATGAAAATAAGTCACATTTTGTACTATACTTAATTGGCACATCAACACTTCAAGCTTATTCTCCACTTTTCATATTGCATCATTAACATCATTGATTGAAGTAAGCAACGTTATAATTTCTAAAGAAAGGAAGATGAGCATTTTAATCCGTGAACGTTATAATTTCTTGCCATGTTTGTTCTAAATTCTAATATACAAACTCGTCTTTCTAATTAAGAAATATATAATAAGATTTTTCAATTTTGTGTGTATATCCCAAAAAAAAAATCGCTTAAAAACTATAGTTATGATACTATCTCTTTTTGGCTCCTTACATCTCTCCCTCTCGAGAAATTTTCTTTAAGTTATATTTTTCTATTTTGCAAGTTTATTAATCATTCTTATCATTTTTGTGCTATAATTGATATTTTAGTAATAATTAAATTAGAAACTTGTGACAGGGTGTGTTTATCACCTTTAGTTAAAGATAGATCAGGGATTATTGTTAGGTTAAGCATTAATTCCTAACCAGAATGATTATTGTTTTAAGGATTAACTTGTTATTCTTTTTAGCACTAATTAAGGATGTTGCTGCGCCTTTGTGACGTGACTATTGGTCACAGATATATATAGAAAAGAAATCTTAAATCGAACTAAATTTCAAGAAAACTTAAAATAAGATAATCGGATTCTGTAGTAATATGACAAAATTAACACACTGCAAATTTCTAATGGTAAATAAATGATAAATTCTAACGCACCTGTAATTTTAAAGGATTTTGGACTGGCTGATTTTTATTTTATTTTATATATAAAACGTTAATGTTTGATTTTTAAAATTTTTATCTTTTTCATCTGATTATATATTTTTTTAAATTCTTAATATATATATATGCGTGAAATTTTTGGTTCGACAAAAATAATTTTTTATAATTCAATAAATCATGATAAATTAAGATTTGTCACACTTATATATAACTTATCAATGTTTTGGAAAGGTTATTTGTATTTAAAATTTTCATATTGAATCCAAGAGATTTTATGAGTAAGTTGAATAGAAAATTCACAAAATATCTCTTTACTTTTGTGTGTTTTTTACTGTTATTTTAATTTTACAAAAAGATTTTGTGCATTTGGACTAATATTTTGTGAGAAAAAAATAAGTTGACTTAGATTACCTATTTATCAGGAACGCATTATTTAGGAAAGAGAAAAAAAATAAAGATTAAAAGAAAAAAATTCACACATTACTTTATTTTTATTAATTTAAAAAATTGATTGTATCATCAAAATACCCTAATTTATATGGATTCTACGATAATATGACAAAATCTGCAAATTTCTAATGGTAAATAAATAACAGTCTTTAAGGCCTTTATGACTCAGTTATGTGGCTAACATAATTTTGTTATGTTGAATTCCCGTACCAGTGAATGTGATGCATATTTACCTATCTATCACGAAAATCTGTTGCCATTATCTGTTAGAGCCCTTAATTAATAACATGCAGAATCTGATAATTAATATCAAAGAACACTAACAAATAAACATTAACATGATCCCAAAAATTTAAAAAAAAAAAAAAAACATTTGTGGTCAAGAAGACTAATTAATGGAACAGGTATGGTGGAACAGAAAGGTGTCAGATGAAACTATCCATATAAGCACTTCCTAAAGTCTCAACTTGTCAGCTCTCAACCCTACTTAATAATTTTCATTACCAAGAACATCTATTCTTCATGAGGAAAACGATTTAGAAGCAATCTTAATGTTAAGACAGAAAATAGCTTTCTTGTTATGTCACATAAGCCGAACTTTCTTCACTCAAACGGTGTCCTTTCCAAGATGGAGTTCCTTGGAACCTTTATTCCACGGAAACCTTGACCTTCATCTTCATTGACCTGAAAGTTTCACTTATTACAATGGTGAAGTGCTACATTAGAAAAAGTTGGCACATATATATGAAGGGCAGTGACTAGCTACAGACATTACATGAATAACAAGATTGCAATTTTGTGTTAGCCACTATATTGCCATGTCTTATTTACTTTTAGTGTCATTGGTATTTTCTACTTTTGGTTCTCTTTGTCAAATTTATTCTTGGTTTGTATAGCTTCTAGCACGTAGTTAACTCTTAATGGCATTCTACATCTTTTGAGAACACCATGTTAATAAACATCATATGCTCATTATAATTTATTGAGAATCTACAGTAATTTCTAATAAATAGTTCAATGTATCAATGTCACATTGATTGACAATCACCATGAGAAAAAGTCTTTGCTATTGAATGAATGGAGCCTACTTGTATTATTCATGTGATATAAAGAAAGGGACAAGCAACACTATAGATAGATGCATAAAGTGCCAATTGCCAAACCAAAGAAGATCCTACTAATAACTAGTTTTAATCAGCTAAAGTAATTTGTTTCAGTTGAGAGAACCGTGTCTTGAATGAAGAAACTGCTAAGTTTTTCAAATGATTATGCTTTTACCCCAACATCAGGAGGGTCCACTTGGGAGTCAAGATCCACAAGTTGATCTGTCTGGCTAGAGCTCTCTTCATCTCCTTTGTACTGAGTTGGGGGGAAATTGGCCCACTGAAAATGAAAAATATTTTCAAGATAAAGCTTAAGTTTCCTTCTTTACATAATATCCATGGTTTATCAAAGAAACATTTTTCAAAGGAAAAAAAATATGAAATAAAAATGAAATAATTTTTTTTTAAGTTAAAATTAACTTATATGTATAAACTTATTTTTATTTTTTTTAAAAAAATTATATGGAATTATGATGAAGCATATCTTATTTTTCCTTCCTATTTTTTTCTGCTAAAAGTGGTTATAGAGAAATTTATTCAAAGAAAACCTAAGAATACCTAGTTTGCGATGCAAATGAGTTGAATTAATAAGCATCTTAAAAAATTAGACCTTACATTTTTTGCAGCTGTACTAAAAGCTTCCTTGTGGGCCATGTCAGGGTTTTCAGCCTTTAGCCTCTTAATCTCTTCTCTGCATGAAACTAATACTCACATTAGAATCCAAAGTTTGAAGTTTAGTTCTATGCAACTTTGTTTATTGAATCATTACTTGATAAAGCAGTTATAAGCTGATGGTGTTCGCTGTCTCTTCTCTGGGGCTGCATACAATCCATGCATCAAAAAGACCAATTTATGAGAAAGTTTTTAGCACAAAACTTGATTCAAACTCAATAACATATCATTATTAAAGTAACTATTGCCTTACGTTTATTCACAACATTACTAATTGGAATTACATCCTCTTCCTCACAATCAGAATATGTCATCAGGGATGCACTATGGCTGTTCAAAGTCTTGTTAGCATCTTCTTCTTGACTACTTTCTTTTGGCTGGGGAGTGGAGATAGTCACAAAGTCATCTTAAGTTAAGAATACAATAAATGATACAAACACCTAGCTACCCTAAAAGATAATTATGTGGGTCATTGGACTCACTAGAACGACAACATAAAGGAAACAAACTTAGAATTGGAAAGGTAACCTATCACCTCAAGATGACTAAGAGATGCTAAAAGGTGGAAAGGGACAAAAGAAGCTTTCATCATATTAACAGAAAGGAGGCTTGTGCAGTGCCCGCATCTTACTGTCACCACCATTGACAAACTGCTGCATGGGACACTCACCTGCATCAAAAATTGAATTGGAAACAAAAGAAGTGAAATACAGAAAGTGGCATTAAAAAAACATGAACTCAACAGGTGAAGTTAGAAAGCATAACCACATGTCCACATGAGCTCTAGAAGTGAAAATTAAGCGACCAAAGAGTTCATTACCATTAAAATGGTTGTGCAAAATCCACATTGTACGTAGCATATCTGTTCAGGAAGATCAAAAAGATGGTTCAATGTTGACATTAGTGTCTGAATTTGTGAGTGAGTGTGTGTGTGATGGAGGAAGCGAAAGAAAAGATAGAGAGATGAAGGTGTGGCTCTTTTGACACAAGGAAGCATTTATAGTTGAAGATGGACACTGTTAATCAATCATCATCTTACTTTAATGATTTGTGGAATGGGGTACTTAAGGTGGTTTTCATTGCCGGAAAGCACTCCAACATTGACGTTAAGGATGGGGAGAGTTTAATATTTTCAAGCCTTGTGTAGGGTGTCAAATTACAGCAACACCCTTCAGAAGAGGGTTTATGATAATTTTACCTATTTGCATGAACATTATTTATCACTGGCAAACTTCTCCATAGGGTTGCAGTGGCCCAAAGTTCTATGGCACTTTGCAGAATGACTAAAATACTTGTTTGTTTCATGTGTTGTTTTCTCTTTTATTGACACTCCTGCTTCTCCAAGCCCTCTCTCTGTCCTAGATGAAAATGAAAGTGCAGAAAAAATTTCCCTTGTAGAAGGGAGAGGAAGTTTCCACAAAGGCACATAGAGAAGGTAATGAGGCATCTTAGGATTTGTCTTTCCTCAATGACAGTAAAACAAATTGACCAATGAAAATGGATCCTCCCCTCTTTCTGTGCTCTCTTGGCATGTGTCACTTCCCATCTATTTTTGTTTCACTTTGAGCTAAGATTCTCTATTAACCACGTATTCATTTCATTCAAACTTTTCCTGCTGTGTCTTTAAATCCCTTCCATGTGATTGCACATGAGTTGGAATTAGTGTTTCCCATAATCAAGGGTCAATACTAATACTCATTCAACAAATTGAAACATTACTATAAATATGGTTTTAAATTATGGTCGCAATTTCATCGCGTCGTTAATATTAAGAAAAATTGCTGATAGCTGATGCAGCTATAATTGTGATTGCGTTGCAACCATAGACACATTAAAAACGTTGATGTTACAGCTGAAGTTACGGTAACGGACTATTTTTGTAAAACCTTTACAAATATACTTCGGTCCTAAAAATATCAAAGCCCTTTGGAACTGCAAAATGGAAAACTAGTTATCAGGATATTGACAAAGATTTTTTTTTGTGAATAGGAGATTGAAAAAGAATTGGTTCAACATATCTCAAAGTGGATTAGATTTTGTTTCATGAACGTCAATGCATTATTAGCAAGGGGGTGTTTGTTTTAATATGAAAACAGCCCTTACAACGTTATTGCAGACAACTAACTTTGGTAATCCTGTTCCTATAGGCCTAGTCTTACATGTGGAGCGACAAGGACAACTTCTTTCCACAAACAACCAACTTTTTGAAAATCTTTTACATGTTGTGATCAATAGCCATGTTCTACAAACAAAATGAACGGAAGCTGTATGGTAGGTGGGAATCAAGTACCGAAGAATGAAGATATACTTCTCTTATATCTGCATTATTTTTAAGTCATTTTTATAACCTGTGAAGATGTTTTCGTCTCCTTGCAATTATAGTCACATTTTTCTAAGCCCCCTCTATAGTTTTGGCCTTCTCTGCTTTGAAGATTTTGTCTCAACCCTGAACGGTTTGTTCCATGTTCATTCATTACATGCACTCACTCCTACTTTATAGTTCATTTGTAAATTCTAACTCATCAGAGTGAATTTGGCAAACTTTTTTCATGGGAATGGAAAGAACCCACAGAATAAAATGATTTAATTATACATATCATGAAAAGTTTCCCTTGTGTATTTGTAGTTCATTTCACTAGTAAAAGCAAATAGCATAAGAAAGTGATTGCCAAATAAACAAAGTTCACTTAAAGCTGTCATTGCATTTGTGCCCTTGACACACAGAAACTTTTGGTTTCTAAATGAACCTGAGAAGACTATTTAAGCGTAAAGCCATGCACCATTTTCATGGAATAAATTAGTATAAAGCAAGAGCGTAAATTGAGGCTTTTTAGCACACATATGATCAGAAGCCAAAAAGGGTATCTCATAATTGTGGGATGTAGTAGTTCAACATCAAGAAAGGGACTAAAGTATTTCAAATCTTGAAATTTGAACTAAAACGGGTGAGTCAAATATCAGATCATTAAGCCTTCTTGTGATACACTGAGGTGTCACTGTTGTCAATTGAAGTCGGATCAAAAGTTTCCACCTACTCCTTACTTTGATTCACATAGAAATTTATTTATACGAATAGAATTAATGTTTCTTTATTTATTTATTTATTTATTTATGAGTTAATCACTTATACACTGTCAGTGTAAAGTTTTTTTACAGTGGCAACTAATTATATCTTTTAATTGTGCCATGACAATGTTAAAAGTAAATGTGTTTACAATGACATGACATAATTAAAAGATATAATTGATTGCCAGTGTAAATTTTTTTTGATACTAGTGTATAAGTGATTAACTCTTTATTTATTTGTCTGTGTTATGTTTACCTTGCTCTAAAATTTGGGTGTGCTTTAGAGGGGTTAGATTATACTACATAGGAAATGCTGTAAATTAATACCAACCTATTAATGGCAAAAGATTCTCACAATTCCTTTCCCCACAAAATTAGGATACAGTCATTCACCTTGAACTAGTTTGTTCCACGGACGACAAAACAAATATGCCAAGCACTTACTCTAAAGAGAGAGAGGAACAAGACAAAGGTAGAAACTTAATACGCAACCACATATATACTTTAGGGTAAACATATTTTTAGTTTATTTTAACTAATTTTAATGTTTATAACTTATTTTATTATAAAACTTAATTTTTGTTTAAAGATATAATATTCTTTATAAAAAAATTGAAATAGAGAAGAAAAAAAAACTATACACCGAAAGTGTAAAATAGTTTTTTTAGTTATCTAATCACAAATCGTTATTTATAATAAGTTTGTTGATTTTTACGAAAATTATTTTAAAAATCATATTAAAATCACTTTTAACCCTTAAAATAATAGTGTATATATATATATGTGTGTGATTTTCTGTTTTCATATATATAATTTTTTATTATTTATTTTTAAATTTTTAAATAATAAAAAATAATATTTTTATTTTTATACATTTTCTACACTTAGTGAGTTAGACACCAGAGTTTGTGTATTTGCAAGTTTCACTTCTCGTCAGAATTCATTTTGGTCAAATGACATTTTGGCTGAATGAAATCTTCTTCATCGCATGAAGTAATCTCCTATGTTTGGACGTAGAAAATTCTTCTGAACAAGCATAATATTAAATGAGATAATAAATGAAGAATTTTATGAAAGTGTTGAGTAAACAAAATTAATAAGTTATAAACTATAAACACAAGTTACTTCAAGTAGCATTAAAAAAAACGTTTTTAATGAGATAAATTTGTTTACTAAATATTTTGTTGAACAAGCTTATAAGTTTGTTAAATAAAATATAAATGATTTGAAATTACTTATTGAATATACTTGTTGAATTTTTAAAAGATCATTAGAAAGATTTTCAATTTCCTCTTTTGAAATTTGGATTTGTCCTATAAAGTGAGAGGTATGAGAGGTATATTTTGAATGATAAACTGCACTTACAATACTGATTACAAAACTAGTGACTGAAATTGACCAGTGATTGAAATTGTGATGAAAAAATAAGTACATGCGTAAAATAAAAACCTTTGGAGTTAGTTGTAATTCCAACTATTGAGAGTTTTCATTTCAATACGTAGACTGTTACTGTGCTGGCATTCTGTCATTGGTTGTGAGGATATAGGCAGTGACTGGTTTTTGAATTTTGATGTTGCATTGTCATTAGTGGAAAAGAGACAGTATTGTCTTTATGTATTTTTGTTTGAAAATAAAAATAATAGATATTAATTGGAGAATGTAAGTTGATAGAAGTAGTTACAAAAAAATAGGATAAAAGAATTTATATACTAAAATCATCACATCTTTCTTTGGCTAAAAACTTATTTTGGTCCCTTATAATATAATAATTGTTTGTTTCAATTTAGTCTTGTTTTTATTTTTTATCACAATTTGGTTCTTAATAAATTAATTAGTTTTAATGTCGGACTTCCGTCCAAATTATTTAAACGAAATTAACTACGTGGATGTCAAGTAGATGCATAGGTGGATGCCACGTATATGCCAAATTCCTTAAAACACCTGGAACCAGAACAGTCCGTTCTGAAACCAGAACGGGCCGTTCTGGATTCAAAATAGGTCGTTCTGGATTCAGAATAGGTCGTTCTGGATTCAGAACGGCCCGTTCCAGAACGCCAAAGTGAGGTCAATAAAATATTCTATATTAATTTTATTAAAAAAATATAATAATTTTAAAAAATATTTTTTATAGTAAAAATTTTAAAATTACTTATTTTTATAAAATACAATTGTCTTATAAATAGAGTAAT